GCAGACAATGGAACTATCCAGAGGGCTCAAACTAAGGATATACATTAGTGCTTTGCTTGACCCAAGCCCTAAGATCTAGTTTGAAGGCTGCAGAAATTAATGGGAGTTTTCCAGCTTTCTTCAAGTAGGTTCAAACCTATTTAAACTAAAGATTGTGTTTCCAACATATTGGAGGTTTAGTTATGTGCACGACTTAATGTGCAAATATTTATCTGCATGATGTATGTAAGTTCCATAGAATTAGGAGTGAACTTTGCAAAAAACTTAATTCTCTCACTGAGTATTAATCTACCACAAGGACACCAGCTCTTTTGATGGAAAATAAAAACACCAAATCATAGAATGGTCTGGGTTGAAAGGCACCTTAAAGATCCTCTAGTTCCAACTTCTGGCCTTTGGCAGGGACACCTTCCACTAGGCCAGGTTGTTCGAAGCTCCATCCAGCCAGGCCTTAAACCAGGGGTGGGGCATCCACAAGTTCTCTGGGCAACCTGTGCCAGTGTCTGACCACACTTACAGTAAAGAATTTCTTCACAATAACAGTTCTAAACATGACCTCTTTCACTTTAGAATGATAACCCCTTGTCCTGTCACTGCCCTCCTCATTTTTCCTGTAATTCCCTGTTAAGAACTCTGCATGCTCTGGCGAAATTAGTGCAGTGCTATGGAAGCAATTATCCTGGAAAAAAAATTGTATTGAAAAGAGGAATCCACTGCAGATGTAGCCAGATCTAAGACTTTAGGAAGGGACTAAAATCTTTTAAAGCAACATCTGTGTATGCTCAGGCAGGAGGTTGAAAGGCACCCAGAAGTGTCAGCCTACAGCAGACAGCCCGCAGCGCAGCTGGCAGGGCCCCAGCATCTTCGGCAAGAAATCATTGGCAGAAGAATAAGGTGTTGTGCCTAACAACCACCTTGAAAGCAAAACCAGACTGGCTTTGAGGTCTCTATCAAAAAGCCACAAAAGGACTGGCACCAAATTTCCTGTTCAGCCCAGGGTGACCTGGTGGTAGCAAAGCCTGCACACAGCAAGTGAAAGGATGGGAATGGCTTTACAGTGGTACAAGACATAGGATGGTGCACATCACCCATGATTTCTCTACATTTGTATGAAAGCTTTATATCAAGAGATACACAATCATCACGGATAGAGTTTGCAAACAATATTTAATGTGCCAAATAACAAATAGGTCTGGTCATCTTAATGGTGAAATAAACTGTGCTTACTTAGTTCATGCTTTAGGTAGTTTTTTGGTTGGGTTTTTTTTTTCATTTTGGAGAAATAGGATTTTTAAAAAACTCTGTAAAGCATAAAATTTGTATTAACAACAGTGCCCCTGAGAAGAATTTAGGGATGGAAAGCAAGTGTCTTCTATCTAGAACAATATGGTTCAGTTTAAGACAGCTGATGAGGAGCCTGGACACATATACAGGAATGGTATTATGTCCTTCATACAATCTGAGGTTGTTCCCACAACACTTACATGCTTTTATGCCTTGTTTTATATTCAAATTTGAAATGAGATACTGTCAGGTTGGAGACTGTGCAGAAATGGGTGGCATGAATGAAAATAAATTTCTGCTACATAATTGAAGATGAAAGCTGCTGTACTCAGCTGAGAAGGGTTTTAAGCTGATTCAACACACTAAACATGGACAAGATGAAGAGCTGGATGACAAAGTACTGTTATCCACCATGCCAGAAGCAAAGGATGAGAAAGGATATTTATTCAATTTTCCAATGAAAACATGACTATCATTAAATTGAAATTTTAAAATGTAGTGATTATATCAGAAAAAAACCAGAAGTCAGGTGTTTCAGTTGGACAATTGAATGCTTATGAACTTTTCATCAATTATGCCATTCTTACTAAAGAATTCTCAAACCTGCACAGACTTCAGATTTAGCATTTCCTCCAGGGAGCTCCAGGAATTCGGCTGTGTTGTATTTTAATTTCTTTTGCTCCTGCTGAATTCTTTGGGTCAAATTAGTTATTATTAGTATGCAGCAATATATAGTGCACAGGAAAAAATGACAATTTTTCTTGCCATCTGAAAAGCATATAACTCTATATTTAATTTACTCTAAAAAATAAAGTCCCAAATGATTCAGCTTATTTTTTCAGTCTCTAAACTTTATAACCAATAGGCTAGACTGTAGCTGATAAGTCTCCCACAGGAATGAGTTTCAAGTTGCTTGGCAGCATCTGTAATGAAGTATTTTAAATGTAGGTAGGGCCACAGGTGGATAGTTCTTTCTGAAAAGAGGTTGTAGGAACAAGAGAAAGCAGAGTACTTGATTAGCACTCCGAAGTTTATCACTTCTTGGGAAAGTGCACATTTAAAAGTGATCTAACACTCTACTGTAATTATTCAGGTCAAAGCCAGAACAGTTCCACAGGAATAACAGCAGGGTTTTGATTTGAAAGGAATTTTTCATTATGGTGGAGAAGAAAGAGATTTTGTAATGGGATCAGCTGAGGTCTCAGTGTTCAGAGGGTTTGATCCTGGTAGAGGCCAAGCACCTTTGCTATCTTTCAGTGCACACCCCAGCACTCACAGTGGGAA